ACTAATTTACAAAAATTAACTTTATGTTAATTGCAAGTTTTCGGGCACAGAGCCGGCTGACGGTTATCTAATTCTTGCAGGCACGCCGCCAACTGATAACGAGCAAAACAACTCGCTTCGGAACTTGTTCTATCCTTGCTTTTACTTATTATGGGGAACTAAAACGGCCTATAAACAATTAACGGCGCTGAAACCAAAAAATATTAATTGTCCATCTTCTCCAGGACAAGACCCTTCGGTGGTTACAAAAATAATTCCAAAATACCAACAGGAATGGTCGTAGGCGGACTAATTAATTACGGCCTCTCTTGGTCTCCATGGCATCGCGGAAAGTTACTATACAGGGTGGTCCTCGTAAACGGCAAACGCAATGCAGAAATTCCGGGTACTTCGATACAAGAAATAGTTTTTATCTGGTGAGATGTTTTTGTAAAATGGTGTTGTCGGACAAATTAATTGCCCTTGTTTATTAACAACACCACGTGCAAGATAACGAATGCAGGTATACGGTCGACGAAGTGGTGTTTCTGAAATCGCTGGGGAACAACGATACTGAACTTATAGTACCATGCGATCAAAATTGAGTTGCTGTCAAGTCACCTTTGGAATTTTTGTTTACACGGTACTTTTTTTTTATAAGGCTTTTTTCGGGGATCTAAGCCCATTTAGCCACGGTAACATACTATGGGAAGAAACAAGGACACTCGCTTCTCGCCCAGAGATCTATCAAGGCTTTTCAATGACAATACTGTACACGACCATGGTTAACGAGGAATAGGGTGGCACAGAGGATAAGACAGCGGAAAACAGAATTTTATATGAATTTATATACGGTCAAATATTTAGTTTGATTTTATGAATAAAATCCACTAGCAGATCAAACACCCCTCGGTCGTTACTTCTTAATACGGTGACTATATTTAATGGGAACACAATTCCCTTGTTCTGCAGTCCTTCGTACAATTTATATGTATGTGTTTTATTCAAGGGACAGTTAAAAAAAATGTGATTAAGGTCTGCAACAGGTTCACCGCAAGCACATTGCGGGCTATCCAACACTTTGATCTTGTGCAGGTGCGCGGGAAATCTTCCGTGGCCAAACTTCAATCTGGCTATTATGACGTCATATCTGCGAGAGACAACGTTTTTGGAGTTACTCCACGGACGAAGTGTTACTTCCGGATGAATTAAGGCATACTGTGTGGGTTTTATGCTATAAGCATTTTTCCAATGTACTGTCCATTGGGTCTTTAAAATATCGGACTTTGCCACACCTATATAATCAGATTTTGCAATTTTGTTTTCGAAATATACAGGGTGATTCCTATAGTACCTGCCACCGTTTGGGAGCGTATAGGGGGTGCCTAGGGGAAGTCTTTTCATATAGGACACTTGGGGTCGGAAATCCAAAATAAGGGCGCCAGAACCAAATTTATCTTCTGGAATTTCACGCCTGTATGTAGGCAACCCAACCGACCGACGTTTCGCGCGGAGCGATGCAGAGCGAGTTAGCGCGAGGAAGCGACATGGGAGGGAAGGAGGGAAAACGACAGTCAAAAGCAATAACGTTTACAAGTGTTCAACGTGGCCACCGTTGTTCTCAATGCACTTCCTACATCTAGCCAACCACTCCCCTCGAACTCGCGTGAAGACTCCTATGTCCTGGCGAACAGCCTCTCCGGCCATGACGACGCGCGCAATTAAGTCCTCTTCGGATTCGACGGGAGTCTCGTAGACGTGCGCTTCCATCACACCCCACAAGTAAAAATCTAATGGGGTGATGTCGGGCGAGCGGGCAGGCCACTCCACCGCACCTCCACGGCCGATCCATCTGTCCGGATAGGTTTGGTCCAAGTGTTCCCTCACCTGCCGCCCGTAGTGAGCAGGGCACCCATCGTGCTGGAACCAGTGGTCCCAGTACAAGTTCACTGGAACATCCATTAAAAGTTCTGGTAGCACCTCGCGCAGGAAAATCAGGTAATTATGGGCATTTAGACGCGGAGGGAGGATGTAAGGCCCCAGTAGGTTGTCCCCCAGGATGCCAGCCCAAACGTTTAAAGAAAACTTGTCCTGGTATCCTCGCGTAAACGTTTCATGAGGATTGTGCTCCGCCCAGTAGTGGCTGTTACGAGGATTGAAGGTCCCCTCTCTTGAGAATCCTTTCTCGTCAGTAACTAGCACGCTCCTCAGAAAGTTCGGATTAGCTTCTTCCTCCTGGACGACTAAGTTGCAGAATTCCAGCCTCCTTTCATGGTCACCCGGCCGTAACTCTTGCACTTTCTTAAACTTATAGGGGTGTAAGTTGTTGTTGTTGGCGATGTTCCACACTGTGTGTTGACTACAACCCACCTGATCTGCTACAAGTCGAGTGCTAGTACGCGGGTTTGCCTCGAAACGTTCCAACACATCCTCCTCTAAGGCATTTACCAACGGGCGATCGCGATCACGGGCGCTAGTGGGCTGCGAAATAGGAGGAGGTCGGTGTAAACAAACAAACTTTTCGAAATGGGTGCTTAAATGACCCAAGTATCGATGTGCATCACGAATCTGTGTGTAAAGTTAAGCCTCCGTCAGCTTACCTGCAATTGCCCTGTCTCGCACAGTCGGAAGTGAACTTCTTGAAAGACCTGTCTGCAGGGTAACTGACGGTTTGGATACCGCTCAGCGTACGCTCGTCGTGCAGCTCGTGCGTTACCATTTGCCAATCCGTACATGAAGTGCATGTCCGCGTATTCCGTGTTAGTAAAACGTGCCATAGTGTTTATTCACTTGATACGCGTCGTTGCAGACGGGATTTCGTGGGTTTAAACAAAATTCTGATCAAGTGTCAGCCACACATCGCCGCCTGAGATCGCTCCGTGTGCACCGCCGGCCGGTTGGGTTGCCTACCTACAGGCGCGAAATTCCAGAAGGTAAATTTGGCTCTGTCACCCTTATTTTAGATTTCCGACCCCAAGTGTCCTATATCAAAATACTCCCCTACGCACCACCTACACGCTCCCAAACGGTGGCAGGTACTATAGGAATCACCCTGTATCTGATTTGATGGCTTTCTTTGCCAACATGTCCACCTGCTCATTAAGAAGAATTAATACCGCTGTGCCCTTTAATCCAATAAAATTTTACATTCCTTTTAAACTTCAGAGCTCTTAATGTAATGTTGGAAACTATAGGGTTTGATTGTAATCTTCCTATCTTATTGTAGTTTTTTAAAGCTTGCAGCACGCTAAAACTATCAGTCATGATCGCCACCTTATTACTAGACGCGCTATCCCCACAGTGGAGCAGTGCCTGCCAGATTGCGTATGCTTCTGCTGTAAATATGGATGTAGAATCGTTTAGTTTAAAACATCCTTTCTCTTGGCTTCTCGCGTTTACGAATGCGCATCCACAGCCTTGATCACCCTTTGATCCGTCTGTATACAAAATTATGTGATCCCTAAGTTCAGCTGTAATGGAGGTGTGGAGCTTACGATCGTGGTCGGGCTGCCCAGTGTACGGTGGAAAAACTACTTCGAGGCCCTTTAAATATTCCCCAAACGCTATCTCAAAATTACTTAGTGGAAAAATGCTCGAGTTAAACGATTTAATTAATGAGTACGCTTCGGTTAAGGGTGGAGAACTTTTATTTTGCCAAAACCTAGAACATAAATCCAAAACAGTGAGATTGTTTACTTTGGAGTTAGCGTTTATTGCTAGGATTTTAGCTACGTATTTGACTGCCAAAAACTTGCGACGCAGGTGTAGCGGGGGTTCTTGTGCTTGAATTAGCAACGCATTTATTGGTGTCGAACGCATGGCTCCTATGGCTAGTCTCAGAGCTTTATTTTGCATAACGTCGATCCTTTTAAGTTTATCCTTGGATGCATTGCCGTATAAAGTACTACCATAGTCTATTATACTTGAACTTCCAAAGGCGACTCGACAGCAAATCATTTTTGATCGCCCGTTACGAAGAATGAAAAATAAACGAGGCTGTTTTTCGGGTCGATTGAAAAAGCGTATACGATTGCCGTGCTAATTTATTACGAGCAAGTTTTTGCCGAATATAGAAGTTTTTTACGTTACAAGTTTTGCGCCTGCGATACCTCAGTTAAGAAGACAAAGTCGTTGTCCAGTTTTCTGTTTTGAGCAAGTGTTGTTTAATTAAAAATCCTACCCCCCGATCAACCATGATAATTATCGGTTAACCTCATCCAACAAGTTATTGGATTACCGAAGAACTGTGAGTTTTAAAAGTTGTCTGGACCAAATAATTTGGAGTTTTTTTTTTATTTGCCCGTTTTGTATACGGGTTGTGTGTTCAAAAAGGCACTGTTAGCCTTAACTTTTTCTTACAGGTTTTTGTATTTGATTTTTTTATCATGATCCTCGAAAAGTTAAGACATACAATGTTAGCAAATCATAAAACGATAAAACTGTAGAAAACAAATAGATACATCGTTTTCGTGTTTGTAGACCTTGGTGCTAAAATATGAGTCGTATTCGCTTCCACCTAAATAAGTGTCGTTTCCAAAGTCATCTTGCATCTAAAATGACGTACTCTAAAATTGTTTTCTACGTGGCATTAATCGTTTCCCACCAATAGAAGACATTTTTCTCTGCATACAACTCTATAAACCATGTACCTATTAGAAATAAGACATTTCCCAGAACGTTAAACTCATCCCCCGCCTTAATAGAAATTGAAAATATTGTTTTGACTTCCTAACAATCTTAATGAATGATAGATACCATTAAACTTGAAATATTTGAAACTTTGAAACTAAACAATTCTTCAGGTAACGCCAGATACAAATATGGTAAATACACAACGCTGATGCACCTGGTTACACAATCATAGTATTAACGTTTTTAATGCGTTAGAAAGGAGTAGGGAACTCTCTATCCCTCGAGAAGATTCCATCGTTGTTTTTGGTTCGAAATCGCCCCTGTAACACGAAGTTTAGTACGTGGAAATAATCAGATTAATTTCGTTCTTTTGTTGACCATGTGTAAATGTAGTAGATCATTCAAAATATGACGGTAGTAGCTACTTATGCATAACAAGGTTGTAAATCTGCGATAAAGTAGGTAATCTCCCCATAGGTATAAAAACGGATTAACCAACAAAACAGACACCATTCTTCTTAACGCATCGTCTACATCCAGAGTCATGAAGGTAAGTCATTTGTTAATTCACATTTCCTAGTTATCTCTTTTATATTATTTGAATTAGAAAGTGGCATTAATTACGCTGATGGTGATAGTTGTATTTGCCGTCTTTATAGACCAGGCTAATGCTCAAATTGACTGGGCGTGCACTGCAAGCTGTGCAATCTGGAATGCTTGTAAAATAAGGAATATGTATGAAGGTGAAGATGTAGCCGAGTGCGGTGATCCTCCGCAAGGATGCAACTGTGATGTTATAGCAACACGCAGATGATGTAGTAGTTGGCAGATAAGAGCATATCTGGGTGTTGAAAGATTCATTTTTGTTGTACGTAGATAGTAACATTTAACTTCACTTCACTGTTAAATGCATCACATTCAGCTTGGGTGTGAAACACCCATGGAATGTCATGCATAAGTACTAAGTAGCCTTACTCTTCAACTTTATTAAGTATAATATGTACTTTGTTGTACTTTTTATTGAATAAATGCGTTTGTTTCGTTTACGTCTACGTGTTTAATTAGTAGGTATAGAATATAGATCATTTAACTCACATATTGGATGAAAAGCTTTTTTTTTTTTTTTTATATTATTAATGGGAATTAGGGAATGCCTATACGCACGCCCCCACTTGGGTCTATAGTGGAGGCAGTGTGGGGCTTGCACCCACTAAACCCCTTCTCCCTAATTCCTCTACATAACGTCCGGCCAGGCATCGCCGAGGGGCATTCTTCTGGCCATATGCATATTCGCGTCTTTACCCGTTTACCAGGCCTTCTTTCTCTCTGGTACCCACTATTTTCTGGCAGAGGCTATTAACTAAACGCCACTTTTCCTCGTCCGTGCACATAATGTTAATCGTGTTCTGCGGTGTTAAAGTTGTGCCTATGGCCCTATTGATCTCTGCCCTTTCACCATACCACCTCGGGCATTCGTAAATCGCATGCGCCTTGTCGTCCACCAATCCACAGTCTACGCAGTCTTCATTTCCTCTCTTCCCGATCTTGTGTAGGTATCTCCCATTTTCCCCGTGGCCGGTTAAAAATTGCGTGAGGGTGTAATTAACTTCGCCGTGCCCGCGACCTATCCATTGTCTAACGTCCGGGATGAGGGTTTTCGTCCAGGATGTCCTTTTATCCCATTGCAGTTGCCACTCCATGCATGTCCTCTCCTTTCCCCATTTATTGGCCCTCGCCTTCACCGCAATTTCTGCCGGTGGTATTCCGGCCACTACACAAATGTCCTCGGTTGCAACTGTCCGGTACGCGCACGCCACTCGGATCGCCAACTGTCTTAATATCCTATTGATAAGGTTCCTAGCATTCCCCCGCGCCAGCGCACTCGCCCACACTTCACACGCGTAAAACAACACCGACTCCACTGCACTACACAGTACACGCCTCTTGGAAGCCCTAGCTCCTCCTTTGTTGGGCATTATTCTATTGAGGGCCGTATAAGTATTCATGGCTTTGTCGGTCACATACCTAATGTGCTCTATGAAAGAGCCGTTCTTGTCTATTACGACCCCCAATACTTTAATAGCCTTCTCCGCTTGAATCACTTGGCCTAGTATATTCAGCGAGACCTCGCCCAGCCTCCTCCTTCCACACAGTAGCGCTACCTTAGTCTTTTCCGGTACCATCCGCAACTTTTTTTTGTCCATCCACCTTTTAATTAGAGTTACCGCTGCCTGTAATTTCTGTACGGCTGTCTGCATATCCCTATCTGCTACCATTACTGTAATGTCGTCCGCAAAACCAAGTATGGACACTCCTTGCGGAACGCGCAGCCTCAGCACTTCATCGTACGCTAAGTTCCACAGTGTGGGCCCTAGTACTCCCCCCTGTGGTACTCCTGCTTTCGGGCTGAACTTAAGCAGGCCTCCTTCCGGTTTCTGCACCTCAATAATCCTGTTTGTAAGGTAGCTCTTTATAATCTTAATTAGGTACGGCGGTGCCCCTTTTTCCTCCATTGCTCTGACTATATCCGGGTGCGTGACTGAGTTAAATGCGTTCTCCACATCAAGCGACGCCACGAGGCATATTTTCCTCGTCCTGCGTGTCCCGGTGTTGGCCAAGTTTCTAAATTCCGCTATCGCCTTAATCGCCTGCACCGTAGACTTTCCCGTAGACTTTCCTTTGCGGAAACCGTATTGCCGATTTGCGATTTTACTCCCAGTGGCCGCCTCCAACCTTTGCTTAATGACTTTTTCAAAAATCTTCCCAATAAAATCCGTTAAGCATATGGGTCTGAGTTTTCCGTTGCCCTTGGGTATGAGCACCAAGCGGGATTGCTTCCATTCCGTCGGATAATGGCCTAATCGTAGGTATTTATTCGCCAGCTTGCTCATAATTTCCGGTACCTTCATAATTGTCTGTTTCACCACCACCGCTGGCACCATATCCGCTCCTGGAGCCTTGTTATTGGGTAGCTGTCTAGCCATAGCTATCACTTCAGTGTCGGTGACCTCCTCGAAATCGCCGTCAGCCGTGTCGTCTAGTGTCATCGCTTCTCTATTGGGGAAGAGGTCCTTCATCAGTTGGTAGAGAGTCTCGTCGTCCCACCCTACGAGGTGCTCCCTTCTTTTGAACTTTCCGGCCACAATTTTATACCCGCTTCCCCAGATGTCTTGGTCTAGTTCATCGCACAGCTTCTGCCAGCAGTTCTTCTTACTTTTATTTATTGCTTGTTTTAGGTCATCTCGGCAACTCTTAAGGGTAATCAGCAATTCCGCGAGCGGTTTGTCTGCCTTCCTTGCCCTCGTCACCTCCCTTCTCTGGCGTATACACTTCTTCCTCATCTGGGCGATACTGTCATTCCACCAGTAGGTGCCTCTCCCTTTGCATTTTCTCAGGGGCATTGTGGCTTCGCACATCCTTGTTAGCTCTGCCCTTAGCTGTCTCGCGTCTGGGATGCTCCTGCCTTTGAGTTTCTCAATTTCATTTAATAATTTATCTATATTCAATTTGTTAGTGTTCCACCCACTCGTTGGACCGGCGTCTTCAACCTTGTCTTTTATTTCCGATGCCAGTTGCCATGTTATATAGCGATGGTCACTTAACGTTTCTTCCTCCTTCACTTCCCAGTTCGTAATTCTCTCCCGCAGTATTTCGGAGCACCAGGTAAGGTCTATGTGGGAGCACTTCTCCCCGCGTACGAAGGTTGGTGTCTTCCCCCTATTCAGAATGGCGAGGTCGTAAGTGGCTGTCCATTCTAACAGGGTATTCCCTCTCTTGTTTGCTTTGGTCGAGCCCCACACTGGAGAGGCCGCATTAAAATCGCCGGCTAATATAGCACTTCCCACACCAAGTTTTCTCATATCGTTCCCGAGTTCGTCCAATCTTCTAACATATTGTTCCTCTGTTTCATTT